TTTTGCGCTCCGCTGTCATATTTTCTGTTGTCCGCCATTGTAAAATAATATTCCCTGACGCTCCTCCGCAATGCGTAAGATGCGTCAAAAGTGGACCAATAACAAGCAAGCATTAAAGATGGACGTTTGACAGAACAAATTGGAACATTTTTCATTGGTGCTGTCAAAATCATCATAGTCATTGATTAAATTCTGACACTATCAATTCACAAAAACATAAAACATCCTTCGGGGCCCCCGAAATGCCGGGGCCCCGGGCTGCAGCCCCGGTAAGCCCCTGCTAAAATCTGGCCCAGCACACAGATATGCCAAAATAATGTAAGGATTGTACCATTTCCTGTTTCGGTTTGTGTTTGTGTTCCCCACTCTGCTTTTTGTGCTCTTGTTGTTCTGTATTCACAGACATCTCAGTCCTCCTCTGTCCTGTCTGTTTTTGTCCACCTGATGATCTGCTCTGCCTGTGTACCCTGATGTCCTGTTCAGCCTTGTTTGTGATCCTGTTTTGCCAAAGTAAGTTTTGCTGCACCGACACCCTTTTGTTTTGTTGTTTAAAATAAATTATTTTTATTTAAACTCCTGCCTCGCTCGCCTCCCTGCAAATGGGTTCCAACTGTGAGGATTGTGACAAATAATCACAAATTTAGTTGATTTTATGTATTTTATTACAAAAATAATAATCTGTCTGATGAAGATTATGCATGACAAAATTAACTAAATAACAAAATAGCTTTGTATCAAAGGTCTAATTGATTATTCAAATCAGTGAGACCTAAAAAGACTGATTTTGGACTAGTTCTGTTTGTGGAGTAGTTACAATTGTGTCTAAAGTGAGCTGTAGTTGTCTAATAAGATTATTGTGATGTATGATCACCAGAAGGTACATTGAAGAGTCTCTCTCACCAGAACGAGATGTCAGAATGTTCCATAGCTGCTTAAAATGATACCAGCAAGGCCTGAGATGCTTCAGCGACTGAGAGGCTGATTTTTCCTCAAAAGTCACCTATCATCAGTTGGAGGGACGAAGGTCTGGCCACTGGCTCTGAAGTAAGCTGGGATTTACCACTCTGCGGCGTGATGTTCTGGTTCTGCAGGGTTTCTTTCTTCAGTGTCTTTTGTCCCGTCTCTATGCAGAAAGGATGCTTCTCTTCCATGCAGAAAGTGAGTTTTCTTCAGTTCTGAGCTCCAGAAGCATGTAGCAGAAGTTGAGAAGTACATGTGCTTGCGAAGAAGAAGTGCTTGTAGAAAAAGTGAAACTTAACTTAACTGTATGTGTATTTCAGATTGACTTTAGTTCACCTCTCGGAAGACGGATGGTCCTATTTTATAAAATCTAAAGTCCCATTTTTTCTGTCTGCCTTTAAAAGTTACTCTTTCAAAAGAGACAAATAAGACAAATGATTATCTTAAAGAGAGATTACTTAAAACACACATTTTCATGAATAAACATTCAGGTCTGAAAATAAAACAGAAAATTACATTTTGGAGTTAATAGCAGGCAGTGTTTCTCCAAAAGGTGTCACTGTCCATCCCCTGGAAAGTAAATGTCATTAAACAAAGGGTTCTTTAAAATGTGTTATCTTCATGGGAACCCATCCTCGGGTTAATACTCCTTTTTGATAATCATTTGTCTTATTTGTCTCTTTTGAAAGAGTAACTTTTAAAGGCAGACAGAGAAAATGGGACTTTAGATTTTATAAAACATGACAGAAGTTAGGACCATCCCTATTCTGAGAGGTGAACTAAAGTAAATCTGAAACACACCTACAGTTAAGTTTCACTTTTTCTACAAGCACTTCTTCTTCGCAAGCACATCTACTTGTTTTCTGAGATGAGGTGTTTTTTTCTGAGGTGGTGTTCCCCTACACTATGGTGGAAAAAAAATGTCAAAATCATTTCCAAAATCTTTGTGTGTCGTCAGTATGGTCCAATGGTGATAATTTCAACTGATCATATGAGTTTAACTCTTGTCCTGTGTTGTCGTGACCAAAAGCAGTTGTATCAATTCTATTCATGTTTGTTATGTATGTGCTTACAGTGTTACCTCTATTTCCAACCACATTGTTCAAATGTACTTATTCGGCTCCTCCGTACTCTTAATAACTAGTATCTTGGCTTCTTCCAGTGTTCCATTTAATATGATAAAGATTTTGCAATTGTAGTGAACCTGATCTGAACCTCAAATCTTGATCAGATGAACTGAGACTGTTATTTCATTGATCTGCATCCAGGAATACAGTTCGAGCCATCTGGTGACTTTCTTTCTTGAATTAATCAAGCAGAAAAGACAATTCTCTATGATCATCACTGTTTTACAAATGTTTGATAATCAAATTGTGTTAGTTCACTCAATGTTACAGGTTGAAGAGAACTACTCATTTTTATTTTACATAAACAGTAAGTAATGATTTTTATTCCTCATTCAAAGAAGAAATCAGGTTAATATGCATTTCTTGATTTTCTGTCTGAAATGAGCCAAGTTTGTAAGTATGTTAAAGGTCGGTTTCGGTCAACTAAAATGTTTACCGAGGAAAAATGTCATGTTTAAACTTTTTCAGAAGATAATAAGAGGGAGACGCCACGAAGTCTGGTTTTTCTGCAATTATCTTTCTGTTAGTTGTTGAACAATCTCATTCTCTGACCTCGACTTATGATAACATCTTACATCACAAACCACACCTTTTCCTGGTCCATAGACCAATCAAAAGCTCTCAAATGACCCGGAAGTCGACCCATTTAAAATGTGGCAACTTCCCAGTTCACTAGGAGTTGCAAGAGTCTGGGAGTGATAGAGTAAGAGTCTCAGAGTGATGGAGGTTCTGAAGAAGTTCTAGAGTCTGAAAACTCTGATGTCTGATGGGGAAAACTCTGATGTCTGAAGCCCAGAGTGCTTCCGTTGGAATACAGAATGCAGTGACGATGTTGGGATTATAATTTCTGTTTAAACACCACGTACGACTCTCTGAGGGTTTGGCAGTTCTCACGGAGACGCTGAAAGAGTCAGAAAGGAACCTACTCCGACGCTGATTCCATCGTCAACCAGGTAGAGGGTTCTATTTTCGACTAAGTGTACCGGAGGCCAGCTGATATCTGATGGAGCGTGCACGTTCTGGTCATAACAGATTAATTCCCTCACATATCTCTCTGTAAGATAAATCTCCATTTCATCTTAAACTCTGCTTTCTCATAAAATCAGTACAGATATTTTAGAAATATCTGAAGCAAAGTCCTCAATCACCGCCGCGTGATTGAAGCTCATTATTTGTGAAACTTGTCTGTTATTATTTTCATATTTTGCCAAATTAATGTAAATGTTTGATGTTAAACTTTGATTCTGAAAATAAATGACCGCATTCATTTGATGGGTCAAAGATAATAACGTCTCTCGTTCGCATTTCTGTTAAAATTCAATGCACGACATTTACACAGTCAGAAAGATGAGGAACTCGTGAAAAGTATGAATATATTTCCCTATATTGTCATACTACATTGGTGGCGTACGTACGTACGTTACTACTACACAATTTGTTGTCCATGTAGCTTGTATTTTTTTTCTGTTTTCTTAGGAGCCGAGCTTCTCTGGCGATATCTGCATTTCTTTTTGTCAAATGTTCATTCAAGTAAACATCTGTACCTTTCAGCTTTTTACCTTGTTTCAGCAGTTCAATCTTGTGTTTTCTTTGTACAAACCTCATTATTACGGCTGGTTTGTCCATTTTATTTCTTTGTGGAAGTGGGTGGCAGGCTTCAATTTGGTGTCGGTTCAGTGTAAATCCTGTTACTTGTTGCTCAACAGAGTCAGCATCTTGCTCATTTGGTTCTTCGTTATCCATTGTTGTCACTGCCCATGCAGGAATATGGTCTGATTTTTAATCCAGTTACTATGATGTCATGCAGTCTGGCATATTGCTCCAGCTCAGCAACATGGTTCTCCTGTGACACAATCTTCTTGTCTTTTATGTTCTGTAACCTCAATATTGTAACCTCCTCCACCAAGGTCAGTATGATCTTTTGTTGTTGTTTAACAACAGACACCTCCTCTGTCAACAAGTCAAGAGATTTTTTTAATGTCACCTACCTCTTCTGTAACTAGGTTAGACTTTTTTGGAAGCATTGCTGCAATAATAACCAATTTGCCTCAGAAAATCTGGCACATTGACTGATGGTGTTACCTTGAAGCCTTCCTAGGTGGTTGTTGGATATTAGTGCAAGGCCTACCTTAGTGGCTACATGTGAGTCTAGGATGTCTTCGTTAGTGTTTAGGCCTGTTAGTTTACTCAAAAAGAACTGCACTCAACGGCAAGAGACGAGTTTTCACAGTATTTACTTGCAAGGTCAGACTGTCAGGACAGGTTACATTAAGATACATAAAGTACACACATGAAGATCAGTCACTACAATCTGCCCCGAGCCACCTTCTCAGATTGCTTTTATATCCTTATCAGTTCAGCCGAGCTCACAGAACCTGGAATTGTCCTTGGCTGACAGCTGCAGCTCACTCAGCTCCTCATCCAGCTCTCTCTGCTTACCCAAACATACGGTTCATGGGCAGAGTTATGATTCTCAGCTCTAGTAATAAAAATATCCATAACCTTTGACCAAAAATTCCCTAACAAAGTCCACCTTCAGCGAAGTCTCAAGCCCTAAACAAAAGCACTTTTCTTTTTGTTTTCACATCTATAAGAACTGAGACGAATTGAACTGAAGAGGCGTTTATTCTCTCTATTTACCTCTGTATTTCTTTATTTTCTAAGTTTCCATTCCTTATTATTTCATATCATCATCAAATTAATGTTTTATCATGACATGTTGCAGAATACAAAGAAGAAAATCATTGGTTTCTACTGTTCTCATTTTTCACCCCTCAGCTTCGCTTTTTTTATTGTTTCCACGTTTGTTTCCCTTCATTTTTCTTTTGGCAGATTTGCAAGTTTCTGTGTTTTTCTTTTTTATCCTTGTTTATATATATATATATATATATATATATATCTTTATTTCACTTCTTTTGCACATTCTCTTCATTCGTCCTGAGTTCGAAGCCAGCTGACAGGTATCCACTGAGGTTCGGTCTGCGCCTGCTGGATGATGGAGCAGAGCTGCATGCAGGCGTCCTGTAAGTCGTCGTTCACCACAGTGCTGTCAAAAAACTGTTTGTATTTAGCCTCAATGAGCTGTGAAGTCACCTCCAGTTCTGTAAAGTCTTCCTCCTACAAAAATGACAGGTTTTTTAATATAATTTTTCAGTTCTGAATTACAGTTCTTACTTGACATTGTCCTTTTGAATTATTGGTTCATTATTATTTTTCCATTATTTATCGAATAACCAGATTTAACCAGATAAGAACTGACAGAAACAGAATAAAATAAAATATAAATGGTGGTCTTACTGTGAAGGCTCTGTTGATGGTGAAGCTGGTAATAATTTTTGCATTTCGTCGTGTTTGTCTCAGTCTTTCTGGACTGGGGGCTTTGATAAATATCACATACGGCTTCAGGTTTCTCAACCGTAACAAATGAATGCTCTGAAAATGAATTAAGAAACGACTTGTTTTTACCCAAGTTTTCACAGAAAATTACAATTAATATCAAAAAGTTAACTTTAGATGAGGGAAGGTAGACATATGGTAACGTGACAGAAAGTCTAGCCACACAGCAACATGAGGATTTATGTTAACATGTTAACTCTGGTTTGATCAGTCAATAAACTCACAGGTGGTTCAACATCCATGATGCACATTTGTCCAAGTTTTAGCACCTCATCAATGGCATCCATGCTTGTTCCATACATGTGGCCCCTACTGTCCCCGTACTCTACAAATCTAAAAACAGAAATTATATTATACATGAAAAAATATAGTACATAAAGTAAACATGATCATATAAAATGTCCATGGACAAATTAAAAGCATAGAAATGCACCTGTTGTTGCAGACCATGTATTCAAACAGCTCTTTCGTAACAAAGTGGTAGTTTCTTCCGGTCTGTTCCTGCTCTTTCATTGGACGAGTGGTGTCTACACAGACAATGAAACATGAGTGCAATCCTTAAGTTTCACTTTTATGGTCATTTACTGGTTCATTATGTAAAATGGGGCCAACTTAAATTGTTCACATAATTTGAAGTTTACATAAAATACTAATTTGTATATTTTTCAGCAATTTTTCTACGATAATTACTTTTTGACTCAAAATAGCCCATTTTATCTATTCATATATTATTATTATTAATAATAATAATAATAATATTAAGAATTTCATTTAAGTTGCACTTTATGAATTAAATGATAAAAACAATAAAATTGTTGACATGATTTGAAGTTAACATAGAACACTTCTCATTTGGTATTTTTCTGAAATTTTTCTAATTACTTTTTGTCTCAAAATCGTCTGTTTTATCTATTCATTTATTATTATTATCATTATTATTAATTTAAGTTACATTTTATGGATTAATTGATAAAATAATTTTTTTTTTAAACATAAAAAGGGTATTCCTAAATAAAATATGCATTGTGGTTAAACCTTTTAAAATAAAACACCAACATTTGATTTGCTTCCAAAAGTGGGGCACTGGGTGACTTTTAAAATGACAGTGTAATTTTTAATATTGTGTGATTTGACAATGCATTCATTTTAAAAATGATTCAGCAGTGCTTCAAGAACTATAGTGATATATAAATGTTGTGTTGGTCTGACTTTTCTATTTAGTATCCTATTAAAAATATTGGTAAATTGACTGCTTTTGACTCAGTTTAAGCTGAAACTGAACTCATCACTGGCATTAGAGCAGCAGGTGACGAGTTCAACCTCTGATCTAACCAGACTCAAAGAAAACTCTCTGTGGCTCAGACGTACCAAGGTATGATACCAAATGACACCTTCACTTCTTTTTAATGATCTTTGATTGCCCTTAAAAGTTAGATGAACAGCAAACTGAAACTTTTTTTAATGACTGATGTCTTAAATACATGGAGATCACATACGGGGTACAGGTCCCTGGAAGGTTGAAGGGTTCAGTTTGATGAGTCTTTTCCTCAGCTCATTTACTCCAACTCCTGATGCACCTGTTTAAAAGGGAATAACAAATGAAGGAATGCACCTTGTGCTTTCTGTGAAACAAATTCACACCATGGACAGAATGAGGTCCATTAAAATAGAGCATGTTCAGCTATGCAACAAATTTGTTTGGAAAAACACTTTTGCAGTTCAAATTCTGTGTGAGATAACAGTTGCAGGTTCTATACAACAAAGTGAAGTCAAGTCATCTGGACAGTTTCTTTTTGTTGAAAAGAAACTGCCTCGAATGAGTCGGCAGGGGAGAGGGCAAACTCCAGGAACCATCTGAGCACCATCCGACCAGTTGACCCACTGTGAAGGTTCTATTTATAAGACTGAGTTTGTTGTGGCTCCTCAGACTGATGAAGTCGTTTGGATGAAAGGCGAAATGTTTCAACAAAAAGAAACTGTCCAGAGGACCTGACTTAACTTTTCTGGATATTTCTACCTGGATTATTGAGCATGAATCAGGATATTTTGCAGGTTCTGCAATTCTTTTCCTTCTTGCTCTCAGTGAAGGTGGACACTTTTTCTATGGCTCCTTCCACTGCTTCTGCTATTTGTCCTTTGAACCTTTTGGAGCCTCTCTTTGCATAACTTCCGAATTGTAAATTATGGATCTGGTCAGCTGGTCTGTCAACACAATTGATCAAATCTTCTTGAAAAGAAGAGAGGACGAAGGAGCGCCCTCCTGCTCCGACAAGACACTTGCAGTATAACACGATGGATTCCTGGGGCAGTGGAAGATCATGCGCCTGTCCATATTGTCGGTTGAGGATGTTGAAGATGCATACATGATTGGATTTATGATAACAGGATTTCTGCTTTTTGGAGTTGGTGGTTACCTGGCATATCAACAAATTTGAAAAACATCGGCAGCTGGTCTGACCATTGTGAAGCTGCCTGACCTGTGTGAGGGGATGTACCATGCTGTGAACATTCAGACTCAAATATTGTGTGAGCTGAACCATAAGCTGGACACGATAGTTGCTGCGAATCGCAGCCTATTTACTGCTCCTGAATCTCGCTGGCCGGAAGGAAATGACCTTGGAGCAGTTACAAGCTCGGCGATACTGATCACAAATTAGGCTGTTTGGAATCACCATTGAGATGTACCAATGAGACTGTAAGTCAGACAAAAATTAACGGAGTCGGCCTGACCCAATACAACAGTTATCTGAATTTGGCACACCCTTGTCAGCCTTGGAAGGATGACTATCTCAAATTCTTCTGGATGTTATGTGAACAAGATGCTCTACTCCAACTACCCGTTCCCTTCCCCAAGACATCTGTGGACTTGTGTCAAAGCTCTACCAAGGCTGGCTGATAAACATTGCACCATCACTTATCATGGACTATGGCTGGGGGGGAGTTTCTATCTGAAACGTTGGTTACGTACTGTAACCCCAGATTCTATGAATATAGGCGTAGCCCTTTAAGGCTGTCGTTGATGGGTTTATCCCGTTATGCAGAGCATAAGCACTGAAAAAATTTAGTCCACGCCCACCTGCTGTGTGGGCCCCACCCGGTCCGTATAAATTACGTTAAGAGCGGGAAATCGGCTCCCAAAATAGCTTTTTTCTTCAGCCATTTAGGAGCCAGTGAGGCCCGACGCTTAAAGGGCTACGCCTATATTCATAGAATCTGGGGTTACAGTACGTAACCAACGTTCTATGTCATATAGGCTTCGCCCTTTAAGGCTGTCGCTGATGGGTTAAGGGCGAAGCGGATGTGGTCCTCGCCTCACTGGGCCCATTCGAACACAGTAAGAAGCGGAAGCTTGCCCAAAAAACGTCTTGTCACTCAGCTCCCCGTGTGCATAACTACGCATTGCGTAATTATGTGCCATGCACAGACGCATGTTGTGTAACTATGCGTTCTGACAAGCATGAATGCCCCGGAAAACTTTCAACGGGAAGAAGAAATTGAAAAGAGGGGGGGGGGGGACATGAACCAACTGGTTCATGGCTGAACAGTATAAACAGATTAATGTCCATGAATTGATTATTGATCAAATGAACTGATTGGTAACAATAGTCATGAACTGATTAGTGACAATAGAACCAAAATCATAGACACGACTGTGACTGATAACAACATCTCACACTGTAATGCATGCAGACAGAAGTGAGCTTAAACAGAGTTCCATGAGAACAACAATATTCATTCTGTTAGAGCACTAGGGACAGAATGTGTCATGGAACGAACCGTTACATTACGTAGGTAAAAGCGAATAAATGAGCAGGGTGTTGACCATGCAGCCGCAGTGCAAATGTCCTGCATTGACATACCATTATGCAGAGCAGTCCAAGATGCGATACCCCTGGTCGAGTGTGCTTAGAGGTTGACAGGAGGCTCTAAATCTGATGCTCTGTAGGCTTCAGAAAAAGCCTCACACAGCCAGTGTGACAAGCGCTGGATGGATAACGGGCGACCTGCAGAAGCATCTCTATAATGCACAAACAATTGTTGAGTTTGAAACGCATTGCAGCTGTGCGCGCTATGTAACACATCAACGCCCGCACCGGGCAGAGAAGATGAAAAGATGCTTCCTCTTCTGATCTGTGGGGGGG